GAGAGGAAATTCCGAAGGGCCTGCGAGCAAATTGTTCTCCTCAACTCGAAACTGCACGCACTACAAGACCGATACGACCTTGCCAAGGCAGCTAACGACCGTGCATTCCGCTACTCCCTGAGACTGAGGCTGGCCGTCGTAGAGGGCATGAGGAATATGTACCACGACTACGCTCACTGGCAGGCTATCCAAGTCAGCAAGCTCAGGACAGAGATATTCGGCAGTGACGATGATTATCAGCGCTCATCCAGCTACGGAGATGACGATGTCATCAACCTCGTCTAGAGTTACTGATCCTGCAGTAATACGGGCCATTGCCCTAAAGGCTCTTTTTAGAGCCACACACTTTACACAAAAAGCTCTGAGACGCTCGAAATGTACGCATAACCCCATCCCCACCCCAGAACCCATGATGCTCGAAATCTACGCATACCCCTATCTCCATCCCAATCCCCATCCATGATTCTCGAAACGCAAAATTTCTATAGACATTCAACTTCCCTTTACTTTTAATTAATAATTACCTCCCAAATAGAACATAATTCAGTGTTTTATAAATTAACAGTTATGTTTTATGACTATGAAAAACTCAAGTAAAAGTACAAGTTTAGGGGCGAGGCACTAGCACGCGTGTTGAAAAAGTGAAATGAGTTTTTCAAAGACCATCGAAATTTAGCCGTTCCTATGAGACCCACGTTTCACAAAAAAGTTCTGTGTCTCCTTTCTTCAAACCTTGAATAAATGAACCATGAAAGGCATAACTGGTCAGGAATTATTTGAGATGTACATGTATTTGTAAAATCACTGACTTAGATAGCAATCTTATTCCGCGGTAAAATATAAGGATCAAAGGACACATAAAATTAACATGTAGCAATGAGCCTTATCCAGTCTTTTATTTAAGATATGACAATGTAAAATCATGTTTAACTCTCAACGTCACACTTAAACGCCCAACGGAAGATGTACATTTTTTCCGTTAAGCACATAGGTATTTGCTATATAAGAAAATTGGTTCATGTCAGCTAAAGCAAAGTTATGCTGGATAATTATGCTCAAACTTGTATATGCGGATTAAAAAAACACCCCGAGAAAATGACAAGAAAATGGAGGTAGACAATAGTTTTACAAATTTGGGAGTTGTTTTCAGATTGGAATATAGGTTTATTTGCTACAAAGCAGTAATCTGAATAAGGCCGAATACAAATATAGGCAACTGCCTTCAATCAGTTCAATGGTACTGTCCTGCAGGGTGCCGTTTCACGACGCGTACTTAAAGTTACGGTTACCCGTAAACCGTACGTAAGGTGTTTGGTTCGTTTTACGACGCACACGTAAGTTATGAGTGCACGTAAATAAGTTACGGGTACCCGTAAGTTAAGCCCAAACCCTCAGGTAACTTCCGCCAACAAATCCCTGCCGTAAACCACACGTCAGTTTAAATTTCGATCTTCCAATATGCATTTACCCGTAGAAAAAGGCCGATTTTAAAATTAATTTAAGGGGGGGGGGGGGGTCAAAAATGTCAACTGGCTCCGTTGTTTTTTCCATTTTAACGACATTTTGCATACATCTGCAGAATTATCCAACGCTTCCGTCAATCAAGTTGATATTTTCATCCATTTCTTTGATTTTAAACCATAATGAGTTAATTGGCCAGTGTGTCCTATAGGAAAGACGTCAACAGTAAATTTGATACGGAGATGAAAACTGATATCTCAAAAACAAAAACCTTTGAGAATTATGTTCATGTAAATGCTACTAGCAATTTACGTGTATTTTTTTCCGACAGGAATTTATTGAAAATTTTTGACAGATGCAATGAGGAAACGACGTAACATGAAAGGTGTATGACGCGTCAATAACGTAGAGTAAGAAACTGATCATAATCTGCCAAAAACATCACGAACTGCTGTGTCATTTTGTCCGTCTCGCTTTGGATTCCCAGAGTGTACATTACCTAACCTCGGCGCACCTGTTACAAATATTTTTGTAATTGAAAAAAAGTACGAGAGTATGTTAGAAAATGGTTGTTTGTCATTCGACGAAAACCCAGTACGATAGCTACCGCTTTTTGAAACTGTTCCCCGACCGACCCTACCACTGAAATGTAGACAATCCCTCATCCCCGAGTAATACATTGTACATGTAGATTATGTAATCAGACAAGAAAAATTCACTAATTAAACACATAGACACCCTGACACTTTAACTATAAAATATACATGCTCCAAGTCAGGAACCGTTACATAAGTGCATTTCACAATTATTTTATGTTGTTTAACAAAAAAAGGTCCAATTTTTTTTCGCATCGCTCCGCTCGGCGAAAGAGTTGATTCTACGCCCCCTCTTTCAAATATCCTAGAAACGCCCCTGATATGTATATATCCGCTATCTTTACGCTGTGATATTGTTGTGGTGCTTCTATTACAACACGTCGTTAAGTCTATCAGTCTTTGTTTCTTATTGAAGAGGATACACTTTTACTGTGTTGCATCCTTATGATAACAATACCTACACGATAAATGGTTTTCTGTTGGACTACTGATACCGGTTCACTCCAAGAGTCCGCGGTATCTCCAAATCCGACAGCTTATTTATGTTTGAAAATCTTACTAATATTTGCCCAGTGTTTTATTGTGCCCGCTGTGATTATACGAATTTGAAATCATCACTTTTTGTAAAATTGAAAGCCTAAAAAATTCATTTCAAAACAATGTACTTATCAATATTTAATTAAACTGGCGATAAATGTAAGAGTAAAACCCCAGATAGTCCCAATAATCTAAGTCAGTAGTACTGTCACATGTGTGTTATTAGCTGTACATGATGTACATGATAGTTGCTATATTTCTAATTCTAAATCGGCATAATATTGTTGTATTGTTTTTTCAGTTTCCTTTTTATACTTTTACATCCATACCTATACCGTAGTTTCATTGAACGATAAAGCGGTCTTTAAGTGTAAATGACAAGTCGTGTTTTATATTCGAAATTATCGCTATATTTTTTAATGTTTTATATTTTCTTACCTATAACTAGACAAATAATTAGTTGTGATATATTTAATTATTTTATAACAATTATGAAGCCTTTTTTTACAACTTATACTAATCCCAGTCTTGCTGGCCCGGATGTAAGCGCGGGGGTGGGTCTTAGTGTGGGAGGAAGCCAGAATACCCGGAGAAAACCCGCGTGTTCGGGCAGGTGACCCCGGCCGCCTTGGTGAAAGCAAGTGCGCTATCCACTGCGCCACCCGACCAACCGGTTGTAATAAAGCATATACAAGTATGTTAAAGGCGTAAGCTCGTGTTTTAGCTTCTCTTTAATACAGAAAACGCATGTATCTTTTGTATCACTGCGTGTAATTTCGAATGGCCATAGATTTGCCTGTTTGCCAACCTTTTAAAATATTCATGGGGGAGATAAAGTATACGCATGCTAGGAATTGAAAGCATCAATAAAATATGTGTATGTACACCATAAGGGGAGATGACACTTTAGATGGCATATTTTAAATTGTTCTTTCAGATGAAATCATAAGATTATAGCAAATATGAATAGTTGAAAATGCTGAATTTCAGGGTTTAAAATCAGGAATCTCCCTCCAAAATAGGGAGAGTTGGCAAGTATGGAATTGCAGAATATGATATGGGTTTTTTTTATCATTGCATTCATAATATTAATATATGTATAAATTATACAGTTGCTATGACATAACATCAAAAGAAAAGACTGTTTTGGCTCTGGTTGTACGGGGCTCTAACGTTAATTAGTTGACATACTGACACTAGAGAGTTCCACTACTAAAAGTTCCGACCACCTCATAAATGGAAATATTCAAATAAGAATCGTCATATGTTAAGTCTAAAGAAATCATTGAATAGTTAAGATTGTAACCGCTTCAAACCTAAGGATCATCACATCATGTTGGATTATTCATATCTATTTTCAATATTTATATAGCCACTTTTTGCTCTCGCTCATAAACAAAATATATTATTCTATTATGGCCCTTTCCCGAGGGAACTGTTCTCTTATAGTGTTGTCTGGGGAGGTATAGTGCCCGAGCCGTTAGGCGAGGGCACTATACCTCCCCAGACAACACTATAAGAGAACTGTTCCCGAGGGAAAGGGTCATAATAGATTTAGTACATCACATGACTGTACTAACTGTGACTGCAAATTGTGTCGCCTGCTTCGTTTTCATACATTGCTGAGCCTCTGCAAAGCAATCGGCATTCCCGGTCCCGAATCTCGAAGCCATTTTGGCAGACGACAACAATGAACTGAAAGTAGAATATGTACAGCGCCCCCTAGGAGAAGGGGCGCAACTCTTGGCGTCACGCTACTTTTCCCGCAGTCTCAGCGGTCCAAAAAAAAGGTATAGTGCCCGTCTCCAGGTATAGTTCCCGTCGTCAAGGGCGGATGCTAACTATACCAAATAGAGCAAGGGTAGTTATCCAATAGCTATCCTAGTAATTATCATGTGATGTACTAATGTATTATAATCTCTTTCAAATTTCTTAAGAGTGTTTCTGCATATCAAATAAAACATTTTTACTCAGCCATCACGGACATTGAGGTCTAACATATAGTTAGCTGTATGCCCATATAACCACGGACATTGAGGTCTAACATAGAGTTGACTGTATGCACATATAACTATTTGGATATTGAAGCTTTGGCAGCTGGCTCACAGCAATAACAGGTAAAAAAATAATCCTCATATGTACAAAACAATCATTAACAGTGCGCTACCTCACAGCAATAACAGGTAAAGAAATAATCCTCATATGTGAAAAACAATCATTAACAGTGCGCTACCTCATAGCAAGTTTCGTTAATACCAGTTTCCGTTAACTTACTTACCCGATTCGGATATCACGTTATATATAAGACAGACATTATCATGACTAGCTAAGGGACATAACTATTTACGGCAAACCCCTTAAAACTAGAGTTGGTTGTAAGAATCGAGACACCGATTCGACACTCACCTTAACTTTATTCTTCCAACTCTGGAAACTTTTCGTCTTTTTGTTGCGCTGGTTTTGTTTGTTTTCTTTCAGCTTTTTCTGGAAATACTCAAAGTCATGATCATGAATTGGGCAGCCCTCTCCATCTCCGTGGCTATGACTGTGACCATTGTGAGCGTGACCTTGAACTTCAACCCTGTGAGTTTGACCTTGGTTTTGGTCTTTAAGAGAATGGTCAGAACTTTGATCTTTAACGTCTGGTTCTTTCTGAGGTGTATTTGTCTCGACATCTTCGGTACAATCGTCTGCACTTTCATCACTTCCTTCTGACGAGGAGAAGTTCCTGATTATTAAACCATACCTCGGTCGGTTGGGGTCCTTTTTCTCCTTCTTTTTCCTAACGAATCCCATAATTTAAGATATAGAAGCACTTAAACGATATATGGGTTTAAACTGTTCCTCGAATATGTCACTCTGATCAGAAACACTCTTTAAACAATATACCAATTATAATATCCCAGAGTATGGTTCTCGCTGTTGACCATTCCCAACTCAGAAATATACAAAATATGTTACGTTACAGAAATACATCTCCGTCAGCTGTCTGTAACACAACTTATCCCACATATGAAGAAAGGTTATAGTTGCCCTGACATTCGGGTATATCCTACTTCCTGATACTAAAAGCCGCGGGGGTAAATTATACGTATCAGTCATAAGTTACACGTCAGCTCGCCCATCCCCCGGGGCCAGCTAGATCAGTATCTTTGACTGTAGGTGAGGTTTTACAATACGCCGTGTAGGGATATGCCATTAATTCGTATTTGCTATTGTCACCTTAGTTCTGACTGTTACACTTAGACAATAATTCAAATATTCAATGAATCTTTTTTATGTGTTTTATCTTGTTGCAATAATCTTTACTGTAAAAAAAAGAGACATCACGTGAAGAGCCATTTTTTTTAATGAATGCACTTCCACTTATGTTACATTGCTATCCCTATATTCATGGTCCGTTCCAAATGTCCAGTTTGACCGCTTGAATTGTTCGGATGGATGGATGGATGGATGACGGGTTTCGCGCCTACATGAATCCGCCCTTACGGGTTTCATCTCACTGACGGAAGTCGGTGTTCTGTCGGCGTGAGGCAAGTTGCCTTCCCTCGGGGGGTGGTTTGGTGTCGTCTATTCTATCCTTTCCTTATCTTATGATGTAATTTGGAGACGACTACTTGGTCCGAAATGGTTTGTCGCGCCGGATGATGTAGCTTTGGTTGTTGATTCTTACTAATGTATTTGTGTCGTCGAGGGGGTTTGAAATTGGCTAATGTGGCTTAAATTAATGTTTATATGTACATAAAAAATAAAATTATTTGTTTATTTTTAAAGTGTATTTATTGCATATATACCTGTTCTTATAGGGAGGTATATATATTATATTTGTTATGTACCTCGGGTCTCTTACTGCCGGTTGTGCCCGACAGTAGAGAAACGTCTCTGCTTCCGTTAGGTACTGTACTTTGTTTCCTTGTCAGGCTTGGCCGGAGTTTGAGATTATCCGAGGGGTCCTTATGATGTATGCGGACTTTTACCCTTAGTTCTTTGGTGTATGTCTATTTAAAAAAGAGAGAGAGAAAAAAAAATTAAAAAAAATGATTGTTAGTAGCTGATCATATGGGGGTCTATAAGTTGTTGGACTTATAATATATGTGTCTTATTGGAATTTTTGTTATATAAAAAAGGGATGGGGAGATCACCGATCTTATCATATCATGGCGTTGGTCTAGGAGGAGGGCGTACCGTATACAGACTGTCCTTTACTTATATCCTACTCTATTTTGTGTTTTGTTTTGTTCCTATATTTTGGAAGCCGTTCGAATCGTCGAAAATAAATGTAATCTAATCTATCCCTATCCCCTGTGCCGGCGTTAACGCGCCTACTCTTTCGACAATACACAGGTGGGTTTTTTTTATAGTCCCCTCCGCCGGACTGTGAGTTGTTGGTGACTGGTTAGTATCATGCAGGTGCTAGTTAAACTTGTTTTTTGGCGTCCATTCTTGTAACCGTTTCCAGTCTTTGCACTTTGTGGAATATTATTATTATTCTCTTTATTTCCTCCTTTAAGAAGATTTTACAAACAGAATAATGTAATTATAATGATATATAAGATAATAGATACAAAATCAAATAGATGGTAAGGCAAAAATTATTGCACAACATAATAAGTTAACATAATAGAAATAAGTTAATCAATTTGAGTACAGTTTACAAAAGAATACATAATTAATAATGTTAAGAATGATATACCCAAAAGTATTGAATAATCATTCGAAGTATACATTAAGCATTTTTGAAATATGATTGACTGATGCCATACGAAATTCTGTTAACTCTAATGTATTCAGTTCATACGTTATATTGCCACCAATCAGTAGGTGAAATAATTCATAGTCTGAATGAGAGTGTAAATATACACTAAACATAAGTTCACATGTATTAATGACTTGACACCATAACTGATCTCGTAAGTCTTCAGTACAATCACATTGTAAAACTATGTGGGTATATATATCGTTATACATTTGTCCACATTTATGACATAATTCAGTTTTTTCTGAATGTCTTAGAGATACAATCAATTTCATTATACTATGTATGGCTTCTCTGTTTTGAGGAAATTTTATTAACAATTTCCACAATATATGAGGAGCCAAATTATCATGAACAAATATAAATCTGCAGAAATCGCGGTCACCACTCATTCTCTCCTTCCATCCTTTTTCTTCATATAACTGTACATTATGCTTTACTTTCGCTTTCCATATACTTTTCACTGGAAATATTCCATTTGATAAACATTCTTGTACTAATTTGTATAAATCATATTTCTTTAGTACCCTAATTACTTCATTCATAAATCCATTATTATACACATTGGTCCCTATAACTGCCATACAAAGACGAGTAAAAAACACAAGATAAGATATACAGTTTTTCTCCAAGTTGCATAATCTTCCAAACAATAATAATTTCTTGGTATCTATGTATGCTTCTAAACTTAACCAACCCAGAAGGCCTGTGCACATATCTGTACGGGTTCTTGTATGGAACCCCTGAATTGACTTTAAAATGAAACGTTGTGCTCTTTCTAACATTAAAATTTCGGTTTTTTGAAGACACCATAATTCACACCCATATAGGGCTGAAGCATATACTTTTGATTTCAGTATTTTACTAATCGTTAAAGGATTTAATGCACATGGATGAGCACCACTTTTAATTAAACTCATGACACCACTCTTAAGCTTATTACATGCGCGTACTGTACGTTCCATACTATTAAAATTATAGTTCAACATCACGCCAACATGTGTTATATCCTCAACTTCTGGAAGAAGATGCCCATATAGATATAATTTCGTACTAAGATTTCGCTTCTTTTTTCTAGAGAAATACACTATTTTACTTTTAACTGCAGAAAATGTGAAACGCCACTTTCTGCTATACGCTTCGCACATCTCGAGCATGTATTGTAAGCTTTTACGCTGTGTACTAACCAGACATATATCATCTGCTTGTGTTGGTATATTAATTCTTAAATCGGCAATAAGTGCACCCTTCCCACATTTTTCAATACTGTCTAATAAACTGTTTATGAATACAAGATACATTTTGGCAGACAACGCACTCCCCTGTAAAATCCCCCTCTCCATACGGATCCATCTTGAACTTAAACCATTAAATATAACACTACTTCTTATATCTGTGTATATTGATTTCAAAATATGCCATGTCTTTGAAGTGATACCGATCTCATTTAGCTTATACAACAAACCATCATGCCATACGGTGTCAAATGCCTTGTTACTATCTAAAAAGGCCACATAAACATCTTCTTCTCTTTCTAAATTATAATGTATACATTCTTGCAGATTAAATGCAGTTAACAAACTGCATAGTCCTTTTTGATATGCTGACTGTTGCTTATTCGGAAAGTTGTTACAATTNTAAATATACCATTCATTGAAAGAACTGGAAACCCTTACATTGCATGCATGAAAATGGTTTCAATATCCTGTACCTTTGCCACATCTTGAAAATTAAACTGAAAATGTAGTCAGAAATTCAACATTGCTTCCCGTATTTTGTTCTAATTGTTGAACAGACACTCCTTATACCTTCTCTGACACTGGAGCTGGATAGTAATCCAAACACACTTGTATCCATTATGAAGGATACGCTCAGACTGGGCTATTGAGAATCTTACATGTACCTGGTTATGATTAGTACTCACTCACACAGGTACATGTAAATTATCTGCAGTGTAGGGTAGGTAAAAAGATTGTCCAGGTGAACATTTTTTACTCAACTTTTCTGTTTTGTTCGAGTTGGGAAGCATGCAGTAAGCCAGTTATTGCATGATTTCCCGTCACTCAGGACTTATTACACCCGAGCGAAGCGAGGGTGTAATACATCCCTGGTTACTCGAAAACCATGCAATAACCTTTACATGCAAAATCGGGTAACGCTGTTGAAATTTACTTTAATACTTTCAACAACATTTATCTTCCAACACTGTGAACAAAAAGAAACGCGCCGGTGCACCATACTACCTGTGTTAGTTGCAGGATCGGTTATAAATGCCCTTTGGCCAAGACATTCACAGGTAACACCTCTGAGGTAATAAGTTCACCTGCTTATTCACATGTAGGTATCGAAAATACCTTTTGGCAATAGTATTAAGTGGCAAGAAGAACAAGTAATTAACAGGTGGTAGGTAAATCTTGTACCCCGTTCCCGGACCCGGACTGAAACACCGTACCGGGAATATAAAGATATTTTAATATCTCATTAACGCGATCGTTTATATTTTTTTATGAAAATATAGGATAATTTCAAACATTATTATCTGAATGTGACAATTACAAAAATGTTTATTTATCATCTAATAATTTAGAAATCGGCGATAATGGGTTTTTCAAGGGGGTAAAACTTATACGCCGCAGTCAACCGTGAAAATCACGGTTTTTCACATATAACTAGAAATTTAGGGAAAACTAACATGTTATTTTCAGATATATAGAAGAAAATACCTTTCTGTTTATAATTATGTAAGTTTCGTTGAAATAAACGACATATTTCACATGAAATTCTGACTTTGTTGTGATCGCGGGCGAGGATCGCGGGTGTTTTGTTTACTCCCGTACCCGTACTAAGGGGACATCACTCTGTCAAGCTGTCGTTATCAAGTAGAACTCTTAGCCATTCTATTAGAATGTTACCAGCCTCTGCGACGCGGGTTCATGAGTTTTTTTGGCGATCTGTTAAATCTCTAATTCCAAATTTATTAAAAGGTAATCAACTAATAGTGTTGAATAGGGAATCAGTGATAAAAAAATCCCTAGAGGAGGTTTTTCGACAGTTTTTTTGGCGATCTGTTAAATCTCTAATTCCAAATTTATTAAAAGGTAATCAAATAATAGTGTTGAATAGGGAATCAGTGATGAAAAATTCCCTAGAGGAGGTTTTTCCAAATGTGAAAGTTCTTTTTTGTTGGAATCATATGTAGCTAGTTTAGCAAATGGTATAGCGTCCGAGAGTCAACAAGTAAGTAAACAAACTTCACAAAG